CGGGTAAAATATAATTGTTACGTAATTGTTTCTTTTGTATACAATTACACAAGCTCTTTATTGTAAATAGCTGTCTCACCATGCCAAAAAAGTTTTGTAAACATACAGTAAAACCTGTTAAGTGGAACACCTCCGTAAGTGGAACACCTTGCAAGTGGAACGCTTTTTCAAAGTCCCGTTTTAAAAACCCATTGACTTAATGTTAAATGAACCTCTGTAAGTGGAACACCTCCAAACTTGAACAGTGAACACCCCTTATTGAAAAATTAACCTGCTAAGTGGAAAGGTCAATTTTCCATAAATTTCAATACTGATACTTATGTAAACAGAATTAACCAACCTCCTGCAGTGAGTATCTGGGTATAAAAACATGTAATAGGGTAGAATCACCTAATTCCGTCCAGTACCTAATGGCGTCCAACACAACCTAATGGCGTCCAACACAACCTAATGACAGCCAACACTACCTAATATCGTCCATACGATATATTGATATGTACGCATATTAGTATTAGTATTAATGAATAAATTGACACATGTTGATACCTTGTTTCATTTTAGAATCTATATCTACGTAAACGGTTGATCGATTATAATTCATTGTTGCTCTTGGTGTTTCTTTCCAATTGGCGCCATATTTGAATGTGAGTATTTTATGTCTCCGTCTTTATATGATATATTATGCAAATCTGGAATGGAAAACTACATGAAGTTCATTTTAATTTGATATTGAATATTAATCCTTTTAAAAGATCGACGTAATAAACTTAGAAATTAATTAAAACCCTGACAATTTGTCTGAAAAGATTGACCGGAATTAGGAATTAAATTCAATTAGAAAATTTGGGGATTGCCCTTTTTGGAGATTCTTCTTTTCATTGCACTGTGTACTTGAAGACGATTGTCGAAGTTGAATTATATTAAAAACTGAATTAATACACATGTGTAAAAGACGATATGTACGTGGACATTTATTATTTTTAGGTCACAATCTGATTGACGGGAAATACTGGAAGAGGCCGTGAAAGTCTACACAGAGAAGGCCGGTTGACTCTGAGGCAAACGGCTGCCCGATATGCTATACCTAAGTCAACAATCTGTGATCGTATAGTCAGATTGTTAATTACGTATAAAATAATACATGTATATTTTGAATATCTGAAAATGTCATTAGTATACGATGCCTTATTCCAACTTGCTAATCATGGGGTACGTACCGCGTACACGCAGGGGGTCCGGTACAAAGCGGGGCTGATGTACTTTTAGCAAACTGATGTTTTCATCGTCTCAGAAAAGTTTCTAGATATTTTTAATATACAAGTTTACTAAAAGTAAATCATCACCGTGTTGTACCAGACCCGTGTGTAACTGCCACGCTTAAAATGGTACATTCCCCATGTGAATAAATTATTATGTTGATGTTCGAGTAAATGTTGTTTATTTAGAACAATGCGTGCCCCACTCTACTTTCACTTTTATCTCCTTATATAACACGTATAAATCTAGTTTCAAGTCCATGATTACGTTTATGTCAATGGAGTTTTAGGTGAGTTGCCAGTATAGCCTTTGCAACGATATGAATGACATAGGCAACATTTACTAAGAATTTTTGTTATGTTTGGGTTATGAAAAACATATAACAACTAACCACATTTGAGTAACAAGCAGTATGGTAACTCAAAGTATACTCCATCTAATCTAAACGCTGTGAACACGATTATCAAAATGATGGTGTTCAATCTTTCCATTTATTATCTGAGATGTATCAAAATAGCGTATGCTTATGATTTTAATTCGAGAATCCATAAATAATAAACAATATGAAAGGAAACAACATGATTCATGATAAGCATGTACAATATATTATCCTACCTTGCCTTTGGTGATCGATGTTATTTCAATCGTCCACTCGGCCAGTCTGTACAAAACGGTGTTCATGAGGTCCATTGATTTCAGCTTTGCATTGGTTTACAATACAATATAAAGCTAAATACAGCGACTTGGTAACTTTATTTCAGTATAAATTGAACTACATCATGAACATAAACATATGCTAATCATTGATTTATTCCATACGAAAATGATTATACAATACACAGTTCATATTGTTTACCATATTCCGGAAGGAAAAAAGGAAACTAAATAAAGAGAAGAAACTAAAAGCAGATTTGCTAAAAAGTTTAATCAAACAGAAACCTATTTAGTAGCTTGGGTCAAAAGCCTAGTACGTAACGCTAGCTTCAACGTTTATATACTGGGCCTATTATGCACTTTCAATCACTGATTACGTGTCAGCGTATGGTATCGTATAGTCAGATTGTTGGACTATTAAATATATTTGTTAATGGAACCATTGGGAAATATCAGTGTCCCAGATCGAAATGGTTATAAATTAAATGCATAGATCTATTGCAACTATAACTGTGTGCTTAAAATGATCAAATGTTTTTTGACATTTAAATCATTATTGAACGACGATTTGGGAAATCTTGACTAACTCAACCTGACTTTGTTTTCCAATAAAAAGGATTGCTTTATAGACGAGCACTTTTCACAGCAGTAAAACTATATTCCAGATACTGCGATTTTTAATCATCAGGAGTCCTAACGCGGATTGTTATATTCTTTCTGAATAATTAAAATAAATATATACCTACAGGTATGGTATACAACTACAGTATTGTCAGATTCCATTATTTCGTAATACGACGATACATAACTTTGAGAAAATAGTATGCTGTCGCCGTGTGAACCCATTGTGAGTTTGACAATTTGACTCGAGAACTTAAGGTAGGTCTAGACCTGTTCAATTTTTACCCTTGCTTGTTAACACTTGGCATTGGCGTACATTGTTTTAACCTGAGGCCCGGGTATACTGTCATTAATAAAAAGAATTATTATCCATTTAGCTTATAAAAATCAGTCTTATTCTTATACATGTAAGTAATCTAGTATAATATACATGTATACACCACGCATTAACATCTCAGTACACTAGCGGACATTTTTAAAGTATTCCTCGGCCTCAGGTTTTAACACTACGGGGACCTTATCATCTGATCCTTAAAGGAGAATATAAACTGACAACATGTTTGCTAAATACGTTATACAAAATGTAGGCCTAATTACGACAAGCCAAATGTCACCGTCAATTTGTTACAAGTGAGAAATCCCAACCGCCGAACAATGTTCCCTAAACTTAGATACCATAACAGATACATCACCACTCGGGCTGTGCTGTAACAAAAATATGAATTAGTCATTCAGTTATAACACTGTAGGGTAACATACCATAGTATAAATGGTTAGGGAATGAACAAATATCGGGCAATAGATGTAAACTTATTGAGAACCACGGTAATTAATCACATGGACGGCATAAGGTTGTTGGCTGGCTGGAATTAGGACTGTTTGGTGGACGGGATTAGGACAGGTGGACGGGATTAGGAAACGCAATTGTCCACCTTTTCTATGATATTAACCAATCAAACAGCGATGATTTGAATCGGAGACCCCGCAATTAATGTTAGTTTTATTGATGTTTCATATAGTTTTCAAGCGGTTTTGATAATCTTCGCCGTGTTTTTCAATAAAAAGAAAAATACAAAAAGTGGACGGAATTAGGTGATCTTCCACTAATGTGATAATTGGCAAATTAGGATTTTAACTGATTACCATATAGCAAATTGGATTAACCTCCTGTGGAGATAAAGATGTGATGCTACCACTAATTAATTTGATAATTAGCAAATGAGAATTTCATAAGATTAACATTCATCAAATTGGATTAACCTCCTGTAGAGATCGACATGTGATGCTACCTCTAATTAATACCCCTTGCTGTTTATTTCAAACTTGATAAGTAAGATTAAGAATGTCAGTTAAAAAACAAATGAATTATAAGCAGTAGGAACAAGTCTTCAAAACTTAATCCAAATAAAGCCAAATCTTTGTGCCTGGGACTGGCAGAATGAGGAGGATTAAGAATGTCAGAAAACATTTTTGGCAGAATGAGGAGAATTATGAATGTCAGATACCTTTATTTGTAAAACAAATGGATAGTTAATGGTATATAGCTGCCCAGCAATGAACGGAGAATCATATTTCCGGTGATACATATAAACCCTACATTTGATCTTGCACATTCTTTTAATCCCCGCAAACCCAAAACCTCCGTTAGTGGAACACCTCCTAAGTGGAACGCTTTTAGACAGAACGGAGGGTGTTCCACTTACACAGGTAGTCTTTGAGGAAGATGGCTGATGCCCACCCCGCGGTGGCTCGCAACCATCGAAAATCTTATACCCTGGAATTTAAGTTGGATATAATCACGAAAATAAGACAAGACTACAATAACAACTTCGCTTCTCAGCAACTGAACATTTCAAGAAAACGCTTGAGGGAATGGGTAAAACAGGAACAAACATTAATGGACTTGCCGGGGAAACGAAAACATAGAAAATCAGGCAAAAATCTGCAAAATTCCCAGATCTAGAGAGAGAGCTTATTCAGTAGTTCCGAAGGGAACGTACTAAACCTAAATATGCCACAGCTCCCCTGCGAAATTTACCTGAGATGAAAAGGGACAATGAAAAATTCATGTCAACTAAATCTGGTGGTGATCAAGGAAACTTAGCAAAGGCATCATCCTTCCACAATGTGATTCACAAGCCCATGCTTAATGTACCATTGTCTCATGTAGCTCCCCCAATACTCCACATCACTCTTGGCGTGACAAAGAAACTGCACGATCTCTTCATGGATGATCTACATGACATAGATAAATTGATTGCAAAAGAATTGATGTCTACAAACACAAAAAAAACTTTCAAATACAGCATTCCATAACCATGTTAAGGAGAAGAAAGTTTATCGTGAAAATCTAGCTAAAATTGGATCCTTGAAATATGACCTGACGGATGATTCCCTAAGTAAGTCTCAGAAAAAGAATATTGAATCTAAAATATTAACAATGAAAAGAAAACAAGAAAGGGAGAACCCACACTTCCTAGGAAAGCAGGCCCGCTATACGATTACATCAATGAAGATGTGTTGGTTAGAAACAAGGTTTACCAGGTAGACGATCATGGGCGGTCATTTACCGGTAACAACTGTAAACGATATTTGAGTGATGAAGTTCTTCTTGATGTTTCGACAAGTTTAAAAGAAAAGCAATGCGAGCTGTCTGAGAATCAAAATCTATACAAAAGGACAGTTGAAGTGAGTGACAGATTTGTCAGATTAATGTCAAAGAACCAAAAGGTTGAATCACCAATTAGTCACTGCAACCCTATTCTGCCAGACGAATTGCCTGAAATAAAAAGTAACATTACACAATTCATGAAAGAATACAGGAGGCAGTTTCCACGACAGATAACTCCTAAACTACACATTTTGGAACACCATGTTCTCCCATGGATACAACAATATAGCCATGGGCTAGCGCTTCATGATGAGCAAGGGTGAACAGGGTAGGCAAAATGTACAAATCTGCAATGATACATCATCACCTCAAAGTTAGACCAAATTTGAAAAAACATTTAGTTCCTCCAAAAAAATGGAAAACAAGTGGAAAGAAAAATTAGTGGAAACAGTGATTTTTGGACAAATAGATAGATTTTGGATTATTTGATAAATTATATATGATATATATTGGATTATAAGCATATAATGGGAAGACAATAGAATATAGTAACCAAATAGTACCCCTCAATATAACAGATAACAGAAAAGGCAAGAGTACATCAAGCAACTGGGCAGTAAGTACAATTTTTGTTCTTGCAGTGATCAAGAAACTTGTTTCTATATAGCAAATGCAGAAACTATTTTGTACCCATATAAAAAATTAAAGCATCTTAAGTTTTACACCACTGTGTTCCTAAATGATCTAATTTTTCATCTTAATATTGATTCAAAAAAAAATCAGTACAACTTGAAAATGATAAAAAACAAACATATACAAAATGCGGTTTAATATGAACTAGAACTTAAATGAAGGTTATATACACATGTTCCCCTTGCAATGGAATGTGGTGAATATCTCCCTAATTTGATGAGGTAGCAACTTCAAATTTTCAGGTTCTATACTGGTTAAATCATTATTTAAATAAATGTTATTTTTATGTAGATTACTAATCTTAATTTCATGTTATAAACAGAATATTACTGCGGTATTAATACAAAAGTGATGTGCCTAGCAGAGTGTTTATTATGCTACAGCAGTCAAATAACCTCTTAGCCTGCATGAAACCAACCGCTCTTAATTACCAGCTGCTTCTCAGATTTCACTGTCTTGTTCTAACTAAGTTAACACTAGCAAGTTTAATGTGACTGACTTTTTAAGTATAAAAATGTAATGAAAAATATACTGACCCTTTCATTAAAAAATTATGCCATAAATATAAAATTAAATATATCAGCACCACCATCAGTGAATAATATAGACGCTCGCCAACTCAAATTTGCAAGAGTTAAGCCCGAAAGTCGAGTGTAAAACAATGTTCACTTCCACTTTTGTCTTGTGTTAAATTTGAGGAAAGTGTTAAGTCATTTTGACATACTTCGGTCGACAAAACATATCTCTATTGCCGTCATCTTCGGCAGAGTTTCACTACTGCTGTAGTACTACGATTACTACATGTTGTCATTCAAGTATATTATGATAATGGTTTAACATGTGACCGAATCTTGGCCAACCAAAAACATTATAAATTAGACGATATTAATTACTCAAGATTCCTTTGATCGCTTCACGAAAAAGTCCGTTTTGATTGGCTCAGATGGGGTCACGTGCGCATTAATTTATACAACACTAGTATAGCAGATCCAAATTAAACATGGCTGACGAGACTGTAAAAATTACGTCACATCATCGCCGCATACTTTCTATTATACTGTCAGGATACCTTGGCCAAAGAAACAAAAACAATCGAGCAGTTCACTACAATGCGATTCCTTGAACGACACCCGTGTCAATGACCAATGCCAACAAATGAAATCGATCGTCAAGGCTATGGCAAAGGACTTACTGACCCTTGATGGACAAGTGCGTGGTGTAATTAGAGACTTGAAACGTGTGTAACCCTCATTTGAATCCCAACGGAAAAAGGGACTACTTGACTTCGTTGGAAAAGCTGGGTCATTTTTGTTCGGCCTAGTTACAGAAGACGCTTTCCGTGAACTCTTCGATCAAGTCGATCAACTCTATCAACTACAAGATGGCCTTGCGTCCGTCGCAGGGGCATCTGACGATATAACTGGAACATTTATTAAAATGGCGAACCTTACGGACAATAAATTAGAAGATCTCACTCGAAAGATGAACAAAAACCATAAAGTCACCCGGGACTTCCTCATCAAACTTAATGAACAAATTCGGAGTAATTTTAAAGGTGTTGACTGGCGACTGGGACAATTATCAACTCTTCAACTCCATCAATCCACTATGTTTTGGAAATGTTGGACAGGGCATTTTATCATTTGGATATTATTGCGTCTGCAGAGGCGATTTATACCAGTTGGTTGGACAGTGCGACAATTTTACTTCAAGGGAAATTACCAATTGCCCTCGTTAGACCAGACCTCCTGGAGTCGATACTTAATGGAATAACTATATGATTATCAGAAAAGAGACCAGGACTAGAACTGACGAATAAAGACATGGCCTACTACTACCAATCAGCCTCGGTCGTTTCTTTTATAACTGAAGAAGCACTATATATTCAACTGGCTGCCCCCTACCATGGACAAAGTGGTCTGTTCGATATATATCTCACAACTACATTCCCTGTAGTGTTACTGAACAACCAATCGGCTAGTATGATCACTAACTTGGCCCCTTATTTCGCCATAAGCCGAGACAAACGTTTCTTTATTGAATTGACTACTGAGGACTTTACAGCATGTACTGGGAGTATGCCTAAGAGGTGTCCCAGCCCCTTTATTATTCGACCAGTAGATAACACCAGTTGTATAACTAACCTTATGATGGACAATGACTTGGATCTAACTGATACTTGCACTTATAATTTGGCCCTCCGCTATAATTCCACGTACTTGAAGAAGATCGGGACTCACATATTTGTATCAAATCCTTATGGTATCATCCAAGCGAGTTGCGACGGCACTTTTCATACCATGTGCTCTTTATGCTTAACTCTTTATCAACAGGATACGAATCCATTCGTATCAGATTCAAATACACTAAAGAACGGGATACGATTCTGATCGTATTGTAGCACCATTGATTATCTGCCGCTAATAGCAACCAGTGGCCTTGACCCCATGACCCCCAGCATAGTTTCTGCGCATGCTCAATAGAATTTCCTTGATATTTTTCGAAAAAATTTTGAAATTTCTTGAAGTTTTATCGAAAAAGTAGCCAAATAAGTGGTCTAAATGATATAGAAACATTAAATCAATATGGCGGAAGTCATGGACGATTATATTTCAGAAGGTAGCGATATTGATGTGGCATTAGAAGAGAGTGACAATGAAAATTTCTTAGGAAATTTTGCTCAAGATCCCGGTGATTTGGATCAGAGACTCAATCTTGAGCTTGGGTTGGATATTCATGGCAATCTTAGTGATAGTGACATGACTTCGATGGTTTCGACGGTTACTGGAGATTTGAACATTTTAACACACGGAGGCCACATAACTTTACACTTCATGGTGGAATCACTCAAGTTGAGCCCCCAGATACCCCACCTGATTACTTCTTTGGACTATTCTTTGATTCCACCCTAATGGTGTTTTGACACATAGTTAATCACTTTGAAGGAATAAGTGATTCCATCAGGGGTTTTAAAGATACCCATTATGGGTGACCAAACTTAGCTGAAAGCAATGATTTTCCCTATGGGAAAATAACATGGGAAATATTGTTTTCCACTTTATCTAAAAGGAATCACTTATTCCTTTTAAGGGATTAACTGTGTGTCAAAACGCAACATATTGATGCCAGAAAAATTTAAAAAGCAGGTATGGAAGGGGTTGAAAATCAGGAAAACATTTCAGAAAAAACATGTGGGTGGGTTGTTTGCATCTACCCTGTCTCAAAGTCGAAATTATTTTATCATCTCTAGAAGTGATTTTCCTGGAGGTAATGCATTTGCCTAACATATGCACCTGTTTAAATCCCCAGGAAATGGCCAAAATCCAACATATGACTGTCCAAAATCTGTTGCGCTAACTTCCCTCCTCCTTTATTCTCAGTTTTTTTGTAATATTTACAATAATGCTACGATATTCAAATAATTGTAACTTTTGATAGAAAAGAGGTAGTATACTCAAATAAAAAGCAGAATAAAGCTCTTTTCAAGCAGAACATTTGGCTCACTAGAACATAGAGTGAAAAATAAAGTCCCTCATTAACATTTTTCAGTTGAAATAAAAACTTCAAATCTGAATCGATTATTTTTTTTTTAAATATGATGAGGCCTATCCCTTCCACTATTGCAAATATTTATGTTATTTTAACATATTCTTGTAGGAAATTTAATTAGCTTTAATTTGATATATACTTTTATGTATCTAACTTGCATACATAAGATTTTACGACTGTTTTTCTAACAGATACATTTATTTTAAAGATTTTCTCGAAATCCTCCGGTATTTCAAGGTATATAAAGGCATTTTCCGCTGGTTAATAAAGGGTTAATTAAATTACCGTGTCAGTGTCAATTGAAAACTGGAAATAATATTCTTCCCGACGTTACAAGCCTATGTGACATGACCACAAAGGACATTAGGATTATTGAAGCCCAAAGCATTGTTTTTCTCCTTAAATATATTGGACTAGGAGCTTCTCAAAATTTCACAGAGACTGACTTCTACTTCACCCTGCCTGACCTCCCACCACTGGGCGATCTAGAGGACAGCGACCTACAATTTTCGAAGAATATGGACGTACTTATCGGACAACTTAAGACCACCCGAAAATGGAAGCTCAAGACACTGTCATTTTCCATACCCCTTGACCCTGTAATAATTTCGATGATGGCCACCTTGGCTTGTATATGTCTGGGGCTTGGATGTGTCACTTTTATGTTAATTCGCCAGAAGCGTCTCTCTGCTAATCAAGAGACTGCCCTCATCCAAATAGGACAACACGTTATTCGAGGGTCAAATACTCAAGGCACCCCCTCTAATGTTTTTTTCAGTGTATCAGTGCGAAATCTGTGGGGAAGAGTTACAAAACAAGAGAGCCTTCAAGAAACATCTTAAACTACACGCACCCCCACAGAAAAGGTGCAAACAAGAAGAAATACCAATAATAACAAAAGAGATAATTTCCGATGACGAACAAGTTCC